TGGTGTATGCCATGCATATGTTAAGTCTCTTTGACAGAACGATGCCATAATAAAAATACTTCTGCCGTGGCTCTCACGTCCAGTTTTTGACACTGCCATCAGTCCACTGTGTAACCATTCGAAAATAGGCGACTTTGTAAGGACGTGTCTTTACAAGTCTACAGGATTGACACATTACGCTCTACTAAGTACTGTTCTCGCCTATTTCAAGCAGCCCTGTCTTCACGTTTGTTACTTCATTTTTTTTATTTTGCTATGTCATATCACGTACTACGGCTGCACTTTGCAAAAACCAAGTCTATCATGCTTGATATCCTTACGAGGCGGCGTAGGCTTGATGATATATTCCTTTGATGCGGAAAAGGATACTATGAAACAGCGCAGTGCATAGCAAAAACTTTTTTATATGCACTGCATTTGATAGACCTGATATGCACTAAGATTACTAGGCCCCGTCAAGCTATGCCAAACTATAACGCAAGAGCACGTCAAATGGCTGAAGAACTGAGCTTCTTGAAGTTTGTGAGCTCCATCTGATGCCCGCAGCATACAATATCGATACCAGCATAGTTTCTCGCGTTTACCGAGCAAAATAAGACGTTTCAAGTTTATGAACGTTTTTTCAACGCGTATCAATTTGCTTTATTCTTCATTCACACTAAAAAACTCTATTGGCCACCGCAATCATATTTATATTATTTGACCATGAATGGTAGTCGTCCAAAAAAGCCAAACTTATTTAGTATTGAGCCATTCCTTGAGGAACGCGCTGGTGAGGTTACTGTAATAAATAAATAGTTGCGGCTTTTACTGCAGTGGCCATGCGCTTAAATCGACATCGCAATCAACAAGAAGGCGACAATTGCTGCCCTAGGAATGTGACGACAAGTACTTTAAAGGTACACACGCAATGTATATAAGCAGCTATACCATTGAAATTCTGGCACTAAACATAGAAACATAGAGATCAGCAAGTCGATAACAAATGCAAACGCAGAAACAGGTTGAATGCTCGGACCAAAACAGTGCAGAAAATATTCTGTCCAAGCCCTCCATAAACACAGCCAGCCCAACTGGGGCATGCGGCCCCTGTGTTTGTCTCTGTGATAATCCCGCTGGTTGATTAGTCTTTTCCAAATATTGGTCATGTATCTCAAGAAATCTTAATAGGTGAGTCACCACTGTGCTGCTTTCTTCAATGTTAGTGAACCAGCAGCCAGTGGAACGGCTTGCCGGCCTAGTGTGGCATGTACTTCCTACGTGTTTTTGCGTACATAGACGGATGGATATTGGTTTTTCTTAGCTATTTACAGATTCATGGTAAAGATCCTCTGAGTTTATTTATTTTTATTTACGATGGAATGCTGCATATCTTACAAAGCTTTCATCCTTTACAAAGCCAGCAGCCATGCAACATTGCAACCTCGAAAACCTAAACCCGACAATGTTGGTAACAGAATAGGTAGGAAGAAGAAAACTGCTCAACTCTGCGTTTCACGTACAATCACTGTGGTTTTTCTATGATTTCGGGACATTACGCTAACTCATGTAGTCAGCCTGGTTATTTTTTACGGCAACAGCTAACCTAAATTGAGGCCCTAACGGATCCAAAAACAATATCAGCTAGTGTAAATGCACCTAATATGCACCACTGTTTTAGTCATTGCCACAACCGTTTTAAAGGTGAAGCACATAATCAGTTCACTCAAATATATTTGACGAATCTTACACAATAAAGAATTTGTATGCATTACGGAGGACGCCAAATTGATGATGTTCATGCAGGCTATAACAATAACACGAAAAACTCGTGCTACTGGAAAGGAAAGGGAGCGTTTTCTTCTAGTGCATACCCAGTTGTCTTTACTTGGCGTTTTTTTACACCATGATAATACTGCGCAAATTTGCTCTTTTCTGACCCTTATTTTCCCACGTAAAGAGTAGCGAACACGTTCTGCTTTTAGGTTAACCTCCCTATCTCTTCCTTTTATTCATTTCTCTCTCTCTCTCTCTCTTGCCCACCATCACCTAGGTATGACAGAAAAAAACAATGACAGAAAAGGCAAACGTCATGAAATTAGTGGCATTACCGTACGTTCTGCTTGACGATCCACTGTCTTCTTTATAATATTTTTGGGCATTACTAGTGATATTACAGTGCATTTCAATATCAGGGAAATATTCTATATATATATAGTCAGTGCCACACACATTCAACATTTCACAATGGTTTTAAAAAAAGTCGAACTATGAGTAAAAAAAAATTACTATGCGTTTATAAAACCTTTAACAGTGTTTAGTTCAGAGTTCAGATATACCCTCAGCAGTGTTTTCACATTTTATGGAAAGATAAGAATAGCTGAAACAGTTCGAGCTTATTTCATGCAGGCGCCACACCCTTCCTGATTTGATGCAAGAGGTGTACCCGCATGACACTTGAAGGAAATAAAAGTGTGGGTTTGCTAGTCAGCGCTGAGGATTGATATATATATATATATATATATATATATATATATATATATATATATATATATATATATATATATATATATATATATATATAAAGTCTATACAACCTGTCAAAAAGCCTCGCTTTTAAATTCAGGCTTGGGGTGGCGATTCTAGTCATTTCGTTGAACGTGTACACTTCATTGAATTCGGTACTAACAAGTATAGCCATGTCATTACAACTGAGACGGCATTTTTATACGATGCCATATTTGCATGAGCCGGCCTCCTACGCCATTATACCACTTGACACTCGATAAACTCCGACCAATAAAATTCGCACATGCTAAAGAAACGCAGGTGAACAAGAACTGATAATAAACTTCTGTTCATCCAGCCATTCCGGCTACATATCAGAAAATAGTGCTGGGCTAGTTGTATCATACTGAGCAAAGAGAGAAAGGGGGAGAGAATGGAAGTCATAGGCACAAAGCAATGAAAGTGATATCTGTGTGAGTTAGTATGTATTCGTATTTTGACCTTTCTAGCACGCACAGAACACAGGGACAAGAGACATAGGATCACTAATACTCAACTATTTATTTATGAAAGTACAATTACATATAGGTACCCGAGAACCAGCACAGCACATGTGTGGTGCAAGTCATGTGACAGCGAACAGAAAAGATAGTGCTAAACAGATTAAAAAAATGATATCCTCATCTGTTAGGCCCAGCGAACTGTGACTAATGCGATTTTTGCACTCCTTTTTATATGAAGAGATGCCGTTAGTTTCCGTGTTTGTTTTATCACAATGGCATAATTACAACAATCAAACAAGTGGAAAAATGTTTTCTTTCCTAATGAGCTAGCATGCTTCTTTAAATGTGTATCGATACAGTGGCCAGTTTTCTCTAGGTACATATCTACACATGATAGTAATATCCAAGTAAACACCCTTCTCGGAATTTCGTGAACTTCGCTCTTTTTTTTTTAGGCGACAGCTGAATTTTCTTAGGCGACAGCTACATTTTTTTTTCTTGTTCTGAACTTTCTGCCAACGAACTGGCACAAAAAGAGACAGCGCTTCTCTTTCAATCTTTCTTGTGCCTGTATTCTGTGGTGCACCCTAAAAAATGTTTTCTACTACTGAGCAAAGTACTTAAATAATGCAAAGGGACCAAAACGCAGGACCCAAAATAACGGCAGCAGAATATTCTCTTTCCTAAATAAATGATTTTATTCAGTCACTGATTCACAAAGAACTCAAACTTTCAACACACACGAGCCCTGTATCAGGCTACAAGGATCATTTCGGAGATGTAATGAAATCAGCCAATACATGTAATGTGTCTTTCGGGCGTATTTTAGAACATTTATTTCGAGAAAAAACTTGCTCTACAGCAGATTATTGTCAAAGAAAACGTATATGAAACAACGATTACATGAAATTTCCAGTTCATGAGAATTAATATAGGTGATACATAGTTTTACATAATCTAAAACGTATTCACCAATTGACTCCCTCACAATGAGTAATCTGTCCAAACGCAGGTTCTGGCAAAGGTATTTTTGATAATACATTCAAAGTTCGTCATGTTACGTAATGTAAAACCACATAAAGAGGTTTTCTTGAATCTACAAGAACCACGATTTTGTCGTATGGTGCTGTAGGTAGCTGCTTTGTGAAATCCAAGCTTAGCAATTGAAAAGAACTGGCAGTCAAAGATTGCTTTAGGCAATCTTTCGTTTCACTAAGCACTTGAAGTAAAACGCCATCCTGATTTCACAGAGGAATATCTAGGTCGATGTGAAACCAATAGGCTACACTTTAAAGGGGAAAGTGAATCACTGAGGAGTAATTGAGATTCAAGGTTTTCTATTAGTTTATAAAAGTTACTTATATCAGTGGATTACACAAATATGGAAGTATCAATCTTGAACATCCGAAAATATTTGCTAAAAAGAATGTGCCTTGTTTTTTTTCTGAAACTAAGCGTCAATAGGTATCTAAACCAAAGCAGTTGAACTTCATTCATATTAAACTTTTTATATAATACTTATAATGATTGGGAGGGTTTTGCAAACTCTCTGACCAGCTTATAAGTTCATTTCGAAGCAGTATTTACTGTTGCTATTGCTCAAATAACAACATTAACCGTGTAAACACGACCATTTTATTCGGAGGGAAAACCTCGGTTCAGAAATAATAAAAACACGTTACAATTGTGATCAATAAGGTCTCATAACGTGCGATGCAACGTATAACATAGGGCTTACTGAGGAATGTGCTACTTTTTTGAAGCAGAGGCCTTTAGAACCCACAATATTGCGTACATCATAATTGTGAACACTTCCTACGAGTAAGACTAATTGGCATCGTAATAAACTGGTCTTCAGAAACAAAATGTCAACGGAAACAATGATGTAAACTTTACAAGCATTAGTTAAATTTGTCATTATCGAGAAGAAGCAAGAAACTGTTTGAAATCTGAGGGAAATCATGTGAGACAGTTTATCAACGCAGCTGTATTACACAAATTTTCACTTACCATTTTTTTTCTTGTGATGTATTCAAGAGAGATGAAAAGAAATCCGAAGTAGCACTTCAGGAGAGTTCGAAAAGTTAGTAGACGGTATATATATAATCTTCCAGCAGAATAGAGCTTTATAACTTCTTCACAAGAGTTCTCATATTCTTTTTTTCAAGTAAAGCGAAACTGTTTTCCTCACAGTAGGCAACAAATGCCTAGAGTGGAAATTTATCAATCAGTTTCTCACGAAAGACGCCAATAGATCTTCATGGAGCTCGTTTCTTCGTCTTAGTTATGTTAAGTGCTCATATCAAGCACTTGTTCTGCTGCAGTCTCCACACGTTCACCAGGACGCTTAGGTAGCAACTTTGGGAATCCACACCTCTACTATTCGCATTTTCTTTTTGCAGCTCGGGCCACTGAAAAACTTTTCTTGTGGAATGTCTAAACACTTTATATACTCTTTCACTTCTTTTACGAGAAAAAAAAAACGATCTTGTGTCACATCAAGGCTCGATGTTCTGTCCAAACCAAGCGAGAAAAATGAATAGTTCTCAAGACTGTCCCAGAATGACTCATGAGTGGTGAGCTGTCCTCCCAAAACTTGGTCACCAGCAGCTGTTCCTCAAGAGTTAACAGAAACGAAAGTAAGCGAAACACAGCTCGCACAGGTGGCTCCCGGACTCCTCGGACGAAGTCCAAAAATAAGCAACAGTCGTCACGCTGTCATCTCTGTATCAGTAGCGGAGCGCAAAGAGTCGCGTTGATCTGAGGTGATACGCTTGATTAGGAACCAGCCGTCTACATGCCACGAGGGGTCAGAACCAGCGAGAGGATCGCAACTCGCTGAGGCGTCCCAAATTCGAATGCCGCTCCAAGTCTGAGAAGCGCCGCTCGCCCCGTGTCGAAGGCACACGGGGCTCGCCTCCTCCCCCGCGGGGTCGGGTCCTGGCCACGGCATTTGAGGAGAGAGGGCGCAGTCGTCGATGGTTTCCTCGCTCTCTCCTCTCTGGTTTCTCCCGTTGGAGCCAGCGGTCGGTCGCTCGCAGCGCCGTCTGCCGGAGTGAGTGTATCGAATGGCATCGGATTTTAGCGCGCCCGCCAGCGTGAATGCGTCACACTTCCACCACCACCACCGTTTACGCCTGTGGCTTCCGAAAGCGCGCTAATAAATTCCGAGCCGCGACGACCCACTCTGAAAGTGCGCCGTTGAGAAGGACGCTGCATTCTTTCTTCTCCTCCCCGGTTCACTGAACCGCACGGAAGTTCGGGTAGTCGCGTGGCAGTTCACTGCAGTTGTTACCTTTTTTTTATATTTTTCAAACGTTACTTCTCCGCTCGATCATTTTTAACCACTGCACTTTTTATTTGCAGCTGCGCGGGCTTCCTAGTTTAGAGTGCTGTTAAAAGCAAGCCTTTAAAGGGACCAAGTTCAAGCGGGCAATTACCTTCCTTTAGTTGAAACGCGAAGGTCTAAACGGGGAATGTTTTACTGTACATGTAATTTTTAGCTGAGGAAAGAGTATTTCAATAAAGAAAACTGTGTATTCATCTAAAATATCAACACTTTAACTCTTACTTGTCCCTACACATATTGAAATATGCGCGTTAAAGGAACTACAAACTGCAAAGTATCGTTTACATATTGTGTTTAGAAGAGTGGTAACGATTTAAAGTACTATTAGTATTCTACTATGGGAGAGCCATGTACCCCTCAATAGATAACGATAAGTGTAAAAAAATAGAGTAAAGTAGATGTATTTGTTCTTTATACGCAAACTTGAAAAAAATAGTAGTCTACGCGTTATTTCTTTTTGGCGAGTCCTATCTTGCTGCTTGTATGGCTTCCTTTACACAGGTATGTTACCTGTTTTTTGCATCCCAAAACTCTCTGACGAGAGTAGATTGACCTCTAAAGATGGTCATATAGTTGAGAAGTCAGATCTCTGAAAAAACAAAAAAAACAAAGGTATGTTGTTGCTGTTGTTAATGTTGCTAGTTTTTTCCTTATTTCTTTGAGTAAGTTGAGATGAGTGTTTATTACGCCCGCATGCTGGCGGGTATAGGCGCATGTTATCTTTTGGCAATTTGTAAAGAGCATTCTGCTAACGCCGCGGCTCCAACAATACGATTTATTACTTAAAACTTGATATTTAGTGCTAGTGCACTGTTCATTTTTGACATGTTCACTTGCCAGAACTACCGCGAAATTTCCTGCTCGGCAATTGCTCTCCACTTTCCTCGTGTTTGCTGTAATGTAGTTGCTTTTTTCCTGGTGCGTGCCGATTGCCTTGCGACAGTGTACTTCGCAGCTCCTTGGACAGGTAGTTAACCATTCTGAAAATTATCAGTATGGTGAAACAAAACAGGCATTTATTAACCGATTCAAAATAAACTATGTACATAAATACTACCCAGGTGTCGTAAGCGCACCGAGTGTGGGCTCTCGAGGCTCCGAAGCTATTAGTACCCTGGAGACTGAGACCAGAGAGAACGCTTTGTCGTGCGGTTTGCCTCAACGTAAGCGGGCTCTTAAGTGGCGTTTCTCTACGACTAACTAAGATTACGGACACAGACAAACTGGGCAGCGGCACACACTGTCAAAAGATTGTAATCCCTAACTGTAAGGCCTAGCGGCTTACGCAAGGCCTAACTGCAAGTTCGGCAAGTGTTTAGCATGCCCCATCGGAAATGATTAAAGTATTCGGAGAACCAGAGGGGCTTTTGAATTTCTTTTGGTGAAATTCCCGATATGACACCGAATGTTTATTGAACACAATAGGAGTTAGGCGTGGAACAGAGAGTATAACATTGCAATTGACCTAAAGAAAAAGTCCTAAATAATTTATTTCGCTTGTGTTATTCACAGCTTACTGAATGGCCGGACGCTTTCATCTGCGGATATAGGGTAATTTTGAGCGAAACGACTCAAGATACATGTATACCTTACACAAACAACACGTTTTATCCCAATATTTTTGAGCATGCAACCAAATATGTAATAAATTGGAACAATTTGAAGGAAGAATTGGATTACAGGGAGCGTTAGAACTACGGGCACACAAGTAAAAATCAGTTGATCATAGGGGAGAAGAGCTGTCCACTGAACATTGGTATCACTATTGGTACAACGGTATATCTGCGGAAATTAGTTTTCAGGAGATAAAAGCTTTGATTGCTATTATAAGCGCACGTGCAAGCGTGTATACCCTTCTTCCACCTTTACAAAACGGTGTAGAAAAAGCTGATCGTTTTGGTTCGTTTTCCGTGAAAAAAAACTGCGAGGCAATCAAGAAACATTGACCCATAAAACAAGACAAATAATTCACCTCGATGAGGATAGTGTAGGCGTTGGCATTCCTACCTACAAGCTCGCATTTATCCCATTGGTCCAAGTGAACCAATTTTTCGGAACAATTTAGTGCTCATCAATGAAAATTTACCTCATCTTCCTCAAAAAAAATAGTTTTAGCGCATCAATGAAATGAATGGTGGTTTTGGGACGTTAAACCCCACATATATATCTATCTATCAATGAAATGACATCGAACGAAAGATGAATTATTTATAAATACAGGGGTAACGTGACCGTGCTCGGCTAGGCTTCATTCCAAGTCGTTGGCACGTAGACTAACGTAGTTTAATATTGTATTCAAGCATTTACTTTTTTTTGTGGTCGCTGACTTCAGCGGGCAACAGTCGCGTTGTCGTAAAATGGAACTCTTGATCCCGGCCTGCAAAGAAGCCCCCCCAAACAAATGAAAAGCTGCAGGGAAAAGAAAGAAAAAGCGCAATGTTCAATCAAGCGTATATACTCACTGCTGTCTTGCGCAAGCTCCACACGAAAGTGGACACTTAGCAAAACCATCGTGCGACGGTTTCTTTCAAGCAAAATCGCGTGTGGCCGGTGGTGACTGGGTTTTATTATCGGACCCGTCACAACTGCGTCACGTAGCGTTTAAACCTATCTATTGGAAAACAGAGCGTTGCAGCCCGATACGCTGTGTTTCAATGACCGGCATGTGATGTCGCGGCCATGCTTTGCACTAAACCTGGTCACGGCAGCACCTTATCTTCATCAAACCATCGCAATTTTATGTTAGTTGAGGAGCGTTTGTGAATGCGGGGGTTAGTGTATACCCTGTGTCGCCGTCGTCGCGATCGTTAAAGTAGTAGTAGTAGTAGTAGTACTAGTGGTAGTAGTACTAGTAGTAGTAGTAGCAGCAACAGAATTAGTAGCAGTAAAGAATATCAGTAGAAGCAGCAGCTGCAGTAGCCACAGACGTCATGAAGGCCACATGCCCAGAGGGGTTGTGAATACGGAAATAAAACGAAATGATGATGATCATGATGATGCTAAAAGATGATTATGGTAACGGAGGTGATGATGAGGCACACAATGTGTGAGCGAGCGTACTTGAAATTTATTGCGGCCTCTTTACGGCAGCAAGTGATCCCGCTGGCCAACCACGTACATACTCAAACGCTTACAGCTTCTCCTTCTGACGGCTTTCACAACGGGGAACTGGCTGAAATCCCTTCAGAATTATTTTTGTTCTATGAGGCTCGTTCCTTTTTACGCTCTGTGCGTCCCTTGTGGCGACGAGTTTTGTCGCAAGTTCCCCGTGAAAAACCCTGCTTGCTCCGAGGTCTCTCTCAAACACCTCTTCTGACTCTTTATTTCCTTTCCCCAATTTGGCTGTGCCTCTCGCAGTCGTAGCCTTGCGAAGTGCGCTTGCCTCCAGTTCCTAGTTGCCCCGGAGGACCTCTGTTGCTCCCACTCAGAAGCGTCTGAGCGGAATCTTCTGGCTCACTGACCAACCGGAACGACTTCGCCCTCCCCCCTCACTCGTCGTCCAAAATTCTTTTCCGCTGGGGCCTCCTCTCTCCCCTTCGTTTTCGTGTTTGCCTTCGTCAGACGACGCAGTTCGCCCAAACATTGGCTGTTGCCGATGCAGTGGCGTGAAAGAAGGCCGAGGGCTGCCATTACGATCGAGACGGCTGTGTGAGAAACGAGATGACAGGTGCACAGAGGGTATTTTGTTTTTCTGTTTAACTGTAGAGAAAAGGAGCTATCGGAAAGGGGTAATGTAAAATTTCTTGCATAGCCATGAATAATGGCCGGCATGCACGATTCCTCCCCTGTGGCGACTGGACGTTACAGAAAATGTCATTTCGATTCACAGATTGACTCGAAAGTGTAGCATTGTCGTCATCGCGGTAAAGAAATTACCTTAATCCCATCTGCACAAAAAAATATGCTGAGTGTATTAATGTTTGCGCTGGTGGGTCATGTCGGAAATATAGTTCTAGTGAGCTTTTATTATACCTGCATACCAAGAGAGAAAAGTTTTTAGACTCTGTAACTTCCCAACGTCCACTATGGCAGAACCATTTGCTATACTTCATGCTTTGTGTCTAATGTAGACAATCAGGACTTCTTCGATGTGTGATTCTCAAGCGACATTGGTGTGTATAAAAGATCAACTTGGGCAAAACTAACAACAAAGTAACCGATGAAGTTCAGAACACATGTGCCATAGTAAAAGATTCACGTCATTACATAGTTTCGCAGTCAATTTTAAGCCACTGCAAAATCGCAGCAATTGTCACAGGTAATCAAATGGCACATGCAGTGCATCAAGAGAACGGCTTACCTCTACGGCCTTTAGTGACAAGCGATGCATGATGTTTGGTGAACAAGGTACATGGTCGATTGTCGTAAGAAAATTGGTTCACAAATGGTGCACAAAACTCCCAATTATATAAAACTTATATTGCAACGAATTTTCATGCTCCAATAAAAAATAACTGGTCTGCATGCACGCGTGAA